ACATGTTCTAGAAATGTAACACAAAGGAAGAAAGGGCCTGTGGTTGAGTTATCCAATAGAAACAAGGACTAGGAAGAAAAAATAAAAATTCTCTTTTCTTGTATCTTTTAAATCACTGACTGGGTCTTTTCCTGTCAAAGTAAAGATAAACATAGCAAATATCTTTAGTCTGGATGGAGGCATCAGCTATCATGGTATCATGCTAAAGAAAATCTGTGATCATATCAGTTGTGGGAAGCTGAAGGAGAATGGGGCAAACCTTTTCATTCCTGTTAATGAGAGCCCCTCCCCATGGGAATGGAGACCAACTCCCACAAGCATGGCCACCTCTTTCCCCCAAAATTCTTTCATGAATCCCTTGAGTCTTCACTTGTTCATGTGAAAGGCAGACCCTCTCTATGGCTTATGGGGTAGAGACTAAGAGGCATATTTTATAGACTAGAGCATGAGACAAACAGACTTGTCCCATCTTGTCTGCCTTCGCTACCCATGACTTCTACCAATTGCCCAGTGGCTGAAACTATAGTGGCTTTTAAAAAAATGCTGGTGCCAAAATCTCCCTTGACAGTACATCTGTAACCAGAAATGATGTTGTTTCGGGCTGACTCAGTTGCTTTGAAATTGCACTGTTATAAGTAAATGAGAGGCAACCAATTATCTACAAAGTAATGACACACAGAGGAGAGTGTGGTGAATTACAAGTGATCCAGCTGACACAACACCCTGTGGAAACCTGTCCTGCTTTGACTTCCCATCCACGCTGGGAGGTGATGTTTGCGTATCTTACGACATGGATCCCTCACCTCAGTTCCAGTGGGGAGGAGGCGATGACAGCGTCATTCCCCACTGCTACACATGTTGTTGAATTAAAATTAGAAAGGCAGCAAATCCAAGTATTAAATACATGACAGTCCAGAAAGCAGGCAAGGTTAGGATAGGAGACGCAGATCCACTGTCATCTAACATGATTTAGAAAGACCGAGAGACACAACACAAAGTCCATCCCGGAAATCAGCTCAGCTTGCAGGGATCCAAGGCATAAATTCACTGAGGCAGAGAGGAGGCACTGAATTCCTGGAACTGAAGAAATCCCGCCTCATCGGATATCTGTCAGGCAGGCACTGAGACAGCCAGAGCTTCACTCAGCAACCAGTGCACTCCTGGCTTCACGGGCACAGCAAAAGGAGTGTTTGTTTCTTGTGATTTCCCAAGAAATTTTGAATCTACTTGTGTTCCGGCTAGACAAAGTGATAAAGAAGGAGGCTAAATCACCATCTCCCTTGCAGGGGCATATGCGAGAACGCTGAACATTCTTCTATATAAGTAAGCTAATGTTGTTGCCTTGATGAGGCTAAGTATGCATGTGTGGTTTCTGAAAAAAAATAAATAAATAACTGTTTGGTCCTAATAGCCCTTGTCATGCTGAAGGTTTAATCTAGTTTATTGCATTAAAATAAAAGGAGTGGATTTTCTACTTTATAAGTGAACAAATCCAGGGCATCTTAACTATAGGTATTCACATTCTCCTCTGAGATTCTTTGATGGCTAACAGACTCTTAGCTAGCAGGATGTTAAAGGCAATACCGAGAAGCCAGTCTTCTAGGAGAAGCAATTTAACATGGGCCTCATCAGCCTGGCCTGAGTATGCCCCTGGGACTCAGTAGGTGTCATGTATCTGGATATGACAGAGTAGCTCTCTATGCCTAAGCGTCTGGTTTTCTCCTATGGATCCTAGCTCCTCCACATGCTGGGAATCCACATGTAGGTCTGGGGTCAGATTGCTCTGGATTTCAATTATAATCTTCACTGTTGATTTTTCCAAAGGTGTGAATCACACTCAATCTCTGACAGATTATTTCATTTCAATATTTCTAAACAGATCAAGTAGGGAATTGGAGGGTCTCAGTTTGGTGGTGGCATTTAAGCATAAGGGAGACTGACCTTGCTTCCTAGAAGAAAAAAAAAATGAAGCTCAGTCTTGGAAGTTGTAGGTGAGCAACTACTGAGAGCACTATATCTCTTTTCTATTTATTTTTATTCTTCTAATTAGAAATAGTATTCTCTTTTACACTGAGGCAAGGCTATACAGCTTAAGATAAATGTACTGCAATGCGAAAAGTGAATCAAGGAAATAATAAGTAAATAGTGCTCTTGGTGATACACAAAGTCAAGAAAAGTAATGGAGGAAGAGAGGGAGGAATGAAGTTGGGCTAACACTGGACACACCCAAGGTCATATTACTTGGGCGCATGGTCAGATGGCAGAGAAACAGAGAAGAAGGGCAGCCTCATAGAAACCAGAACAGTTTAAACAAACCTGCACATAGAGCAAAGTCAGTTGTGAAATTGGGGTCCACTTTGATTCCTACTACCTCACACAGGGTGGCAGAGAGACAGGTACTGGAGAATAAAGGGACTCGGCGGCAGGGGCAAAGCACTTTTTCCAAGTTAACCAGAGAGCCTACTAGAGAGGTGGCAGGCATAGAAGGACTTCTTGAGGAGCAGCTTAGCAGCTGGGGAAGGAAATATGAAGTTTCTGGAACTAATAATGGGGCCTGTGGGTTGAATTGTTATATTGGCATTATGGACATTGCCACTTCTAAACAACCACTGAGCACAGAAAAACACTGACAGGGCTGAGCTTGGATTTTCTCATAGGATAGTTCCTTGTGCTTTCTCAGAAGCTATTGAGGGCTGTCATCCCTCCCAGGTTCCCATCCTGTCTCTGGCTGTGTCTCCTGGGAATTTCAAGGTTTTACAGCATAGCAACAAACCAAGTCATTCAAGTGACCCTGCCCAAAACAGACACTCTGCTGACAACATTATCAGAGAAGTCTGGTGAAGCCAAGTTCATCTTAATTTCACATAAACAAAAAAATATTTCCTTAAGGCTAGGTAAAGCTGAATGTTGCACCACTAGTCTAGAAAACACTATATTCAAATTTGGTATAAAGATAGAATTTGAAAATGGAGAGGCCAGAATCAAATAACCACAGGGACTAATCCAAGGACCGTATGTCTGAAGGGAAGTATATTTAATCCCTTTGTATTGGAGGCAGTGGTGATGCATTTGTAAATTTTAAGAACCCTCTATTTCAGGTCATCTCTTCACATCAGTAACAGTGGCTACTGTATTTCTTCTACTCTTAGTGCCCATGTCAAGCTTCCCAACAAGCCATTTATTTAGTCTATAACAAAAGCCATTAAAGAGAGGAGCAAGTTTTAGTGATTTAAACAATAAGTAGGCATGGTGCCCAATAGTTTCTATGACTGCCTAGGACAGATACCTTTCTGGCAAGAGTTGCTAGTTAAATAAATTTATCTGGAAGATGAGTAAATTCAGGAGTCAGGGAGGAAGTAGGTAAGTTAAAATCTTAATGCATGTAGATGACCCATTCTGAGGAAGACTTACAATTTCACAAAGGCCTCAGCAGAAGCCTAGAGCTTTCTTGCCTTTACCTAGAAATACCCATTGTATAGGAAGCCCAGAATAAAACAATTTCAGGATAATAAATTTAGCCTGAAGATAGGGGACTCTCATTTAACAGGGCGTGCTGAAGTGATACACTGGACTTCTGAAGAGGAATTGAAGAGAAACGAAACAGTGTTCGATCAGGCCCACAGGCCACTACTCATTACCAGTTCTTTCTCTTTAGACAGAAGAGAAGGTGAACAGTGGAAACGGTTAAAAAAAAAATATATGACTGATAGCTCCTGCTATATTTCACTGTATTCCTTCAGGCAGAGGAACTCTGATTGACACATGTATGGCAGCAGGAACGAAGCTGTGCAGTGCTTGTCTACAGTGGTCCGCTTGAACTGAGGGGCCAGGGAGGCACAGAGAAAGCAGAGAGTACCTATCACAAGGCACAAGGCTACCATAATGGCAGAGACAGCATGGACCACTGAGGATGGCAGTTACCCTTTGCTTCATGACCATCCACCTGTCAATAGCTTTAATGGCCTTGTAAGATTGCTTGCTGGCATCTGCACATATCCAAAATTATATAGTATTTTGTAAAAAAGAAAAAGAAAAAAAAAGAACCTGACAAATCCAAAAATTACATAGAAAGAGGGAAAAAAGGCAAATACTGTCCTAGGCAATCTTAACTGATTCCTGACTCTCCTCCTCCATATCATTAATACCTTACTTTGTCCTAACTCTGAATGCTTTCTGTGATGGTGACAAAACCTGGAAACACTTGGAAGGAGGCCTCAATGTGTCCTTTCCAGCTTGAGATTGTCCCAGACTTCAAGCACTAGCAACAGAAGGGAAGGCACCCACGTCATTAAGTAATTAAAGTATTTTAAAAGTAAGGCTAATTAAAAGTAATGGCCAATTAAAGCATGTATCTTTGAACTTCTTTGCATTTCATATCTAAGCAGCACACAGCAGTTTTCTTTTAATCTGCAGGCGAGTCTGTCCAAGACCCAGTGGGTACCCTAAACCAGAAATAGTGCCAAATACTCTATATACTTTGTTCTATACATGTGATAAAGGTTAACTTGTAAGGTCTAGTGAGAGATCAACATTAAAAGAAAACAGTTATAAAACTATACAGTAGTGAGCATTATATAATCAGTCTCCACATGCCAGAGAGGTCAGTGCTCCACAGATGACCCATAAAGGCTCACCATTCTCCTGGCTTGGCCTTTTAGTGCCACCCCCACCCCCACCCCCAGCTCTCTGGCCCACTTACACACTCTGGAGCGCTCTCTTTATTGATAAATTACTGCTATCTCTACCCGGTGAGTGGACACAAGTGCCTGGAAATCTCAGGACTTTCCCTCCAGACTTCCAGCCATGCCTGCAGTGATAGGACAGGGCGGGCAAGTCCACCATGGCTAAAGGCTTTCCTCGCATGGTCTCCACAAAGTCTTTTGTGATCCCCTGGGAAGACATGGGTCCTGCTACGTTTCTGCCCTCCTGGCCAACCACCATCTTGCCTTTTCTGGGGCCCACTGGGAGGTCTGGGTGAAGGTAAAGTACATGATGTTTACCTGAAAGTAGACACGCAGAGCTTCCGCCTCTGCAGCCATCTCCTCCTCCGATCTCCAAAAGGCTGGGGCGTCCTCTTTCTCTTTGTCATGTTTCTGGAGCTGTGGAGGAAGAAAATGGAATAGGCTCACTAAAGAGTCCTTGAGATTCCCTTTAATAATGTTGGGGAAGTGGGGAATAGTGACAATAATTTGCAAATTAGAGGCCTGTAGGTGTATCTTAATTACATTAATTGCCCAATTTTGAAAATAAAGAGTTTCACATTAGAATTGACATTTCTTGCTTCTCTAATAAAATAACAAGATTAGGCTGCACCGGGGCTGTTGTGCTTGCCTGATGAGCCTGTGACAGACGGAGGCTGGGTAAAGTGGGAGGCTGGTGAGGGTAGCATCTCGCCACTCAACACAGCCTCCATTTCCTTTTCTTTTGCTTGTCAGGCACAATTCAATAATTGACTTCCTTGGCTGCAGTTGTACCCTGTCTCTGGCCATCTTCGGTCTTGCAGTTTACCTACCGTTCTCTCTCTAGCTTTTATGGCCCCCGAATAGTTGGAAGAAATTCTGACAGGGAACACTCAAGTCCCCTCCCTTTGGCTATCAGACTATTGAAAAAATGAACTCTAAATCACATAAAATTTCCCAGCAGCCCTGTGCTGGGGACGGGAAAGACTAAAGACCTATTGCCAACCAGAGGAGGGATTAGCCTCTCCAGACTTCATGTGTCCTGACCATTTAATATTCGTACAGTTTCTGGCATTTCTTTCATGTTTTCTATACAGTTCTAACTGTGACAAAGAGAATGGGAAAAAAATGAGTATTTCTTTCCAGGATTTGACTAAACTGTAAATGAATTCATTTTCCCTTATCAGTTTGTTCTCTAATTTCTTTTAAGAAGTAGCAGGTTTATGAATCCAAGAGTACCTGTAATAATAGAAACTATGAGAAAACAGCAGAGCAAATTAACAGCTTAGTCTTAATCAATTATATTCCTCCCTAGACCATTCTCTCTGTGTATGTATCTTTGTATATGAGCACATAAAGTACATTTGCATGTTTACATTTATTTTACATATACATATGTATTTACAATCAAGTATACGTTTAAGATTTCTGTATAGAGTGGGCATGCCAATACTATCAGAGAGCAGGTTTTCAGTAGAGTTTAATCTCTCTTTTAATCTCCTACTGTAATTCAGTTCTGTCACCAAATCTGTCCTCTGTGTCTTTATATGTGCAGGGATAAGCTGAAGGTCAGGTGGCTCACAGATGAACAGTGTAGTGACCCATGCTATGTTGACTCGGATCATTGAAAAGTACTGTCAATGATGGCCAACCTTTATGATGTGGAGGGCCGCATTTCCTATGCTCATTTTCTCACATAGTCCTAACACCTTCCCATAAGGCAGACACTCCCCCTAAGTCCATCTTTTCTGGAGGAAATGCGGGTCTAAGGAAATTCAGTTACTTATCCAGGTAGGTAATGCTAGGTGCCAGCATAATCCACAACCTTTTTCCTTTATCTAGGAGAATCTATACAAATGGCAATTCCATAGTTACCGTTCACATTTCACTGCATGTATACTCACCCTCAACTTGGATACTTTGAAAATAACCTTGTGAGCTCAGCAAAACATGTTGCCTCAAAGGGTAAGGCATAAACATGACAAGCTGACCCCTGGAAACCATGGTAAAATGAAAGGAGAGAATCTCTCCCCACAGTTGTCCTCTGACTGCCACATGCATGTTGTGGCATAACTAACCCAGCCACATACATAATACACACACATGTCCACCTGAAATAGTAATGTTCATTCTGTTGGGCCCCAATCCCTCAGCCTGGCAGACTGCAGCAGACAGAGAATTTTCCCCATTTATCTCTGAGCTACTTTGACATGAAAGACAACACAGTGTAGGAAAGATGTCCCCCACTCTCCAGCAGGGCTGTATTTCCACACTGAGAAAGTCTGAGCCTAAATGAGGCTCATTAGCATAGAACTAGGCCACAAATATCTTCATGAGGGTCATGGATCTTCCTTTCAGAATTTGGCTGCCAGCACACTGGTTTTCCATTTTGTCACACAGATTTAATTCTTCTTAGTGGAAGAAAAGCACATTAAGAAGTCATTTCCTTGCTCGTAGAAGCAGACATGACGCAGTTGCTACGGGCGAATCAAATGGGATCGCTATTCTACCCGAGAACTAATTTTCATTTTTCTACTACCTTTGGGTTTGTTATAAATCCATCTTGTAACAGTTTGATGAGAAAGACAAAGAGCAAAGCAAAAGCCAGTGAACATGACCTTCCCACTGTGGTGTTGCCATGGGAAGACACAGAAATCAAGCTTTAAGTAGCCTTGTCAACACAGACCATACCAGATGATTCCAAATAATTTAGAGGCTGAGAACATTAATGTTCCTGGTTATTAGGCACCCTTCTGTTCGTGTCATATGCCTTACAGATGGCAGCATTTAGACATTGTTTACGGAAACTAGAAAACCAATAGAGCAAACTAAACATGTTCGCAAAGTTCTGTTGGACATGAGTGTTAATAACAAAACTTTTGAAGACCCCAGTTGGAAGCTCTTGGTTTTCTTTGAGACAGCTCACTGATTACCACTACTCACTAGCAAAACCTGGTTGACTGTTTATAGATTTTGAAAAGAAAGCAAAAGCAAAGCAAAGCAAAACAAAACCAAAGCAACAACAACAACAAACCCAAAACATTTGAAGGAAAGAGGTCTGTATGTATAGGAAAGGGCTCTTACGTAAATAGAAGTATGGCTGTCAACTTGTATCTGTGGTGCCCAGGGTGCCAAGATCCACAGTTGTTCAAGTCTCAGATGTAAAATGCATATGTTTGCACATAACCTTAATACCTCTGCTGACATACCTTCCTTCCTGTAAATTGTCTATAAATCTAAATACATCACAAACAAGGTGAAAACAGTCATTCTGCTTGTGTTCAGTAGAGATGTCATTTGTTTTCTGCTTTTTTGACCAGTGGTTGCTTGAATCCACAATATCAGCCCACAGACGCGCGGCCCATTGTAACTCATCTATCATTAAGCTTATTGCTCAGGCCCTTTCAACCATATTACATCTGTCCTTTGCAAACACCACTGTAGAGTGCTTTTCTTTTGTATATTGTAAATCAAAGGACCTCTGGGTGGCAAGATTTTTCTAAGTACCTTGATGATGCTAACTAGTTCAGAAGTTTGGAGTCTCTTCAGGAATTGGGAGGTTTGGGGCAGCCTGAAAGGGCAAAATTTGTGCCCTAGAAGAGCCATAATAGAGACTAAGAAATGAAAACTGCAGGTGTTTGTGAAAAAATTCTGAGGCAAATTAAGAATGTGGTCACAGTAATCTGTTGCCTGGCTAACAAAGAGGAGTTCCATGATTTTAAGGAACAGCATACCCAAAAGGCAGATTTGCCTTGAGTGAGCCTTAGTGGGAGAGTTTCATTTGTAGGTAAATTTCTAGATGACTTTAGACTGCAAGAAGAGAAAGGCAATGCCTACTTACTACCATCCCTAATATTCAATCTGTTCCTGATGTGCCAGGAACCAATGTTCTCTCCTGAAATCAAAGGCACACACACAGGGAAGAAAGATACTCAATGGTTATATTTAGTGGTTACCAAATGGACAGGAGCTGGGTCCGGGTCACCTAGTTTCAAAGCTTCTAGAGAGTCATCTATATTTCAAAAGGAAATAGTCTTATGGTAACCAGGCATGGTAACACATACTTTTAATCCCTGAGCTCAGGAAGAAGACAAAGGCAGGTGGATCTCTCTGAGTTCTAGGACAGCCTGTTCCACACAGCAAGTTCCAGGATAGCTAAGGCTACATAGAGAGACCCTGTCTCAAAACACAAACAACAGAAGAATTATAGGAAAGAAGGTATTATCTAAAGAATATCCAACAAGGGTTTCTCAGGTTGATAAAGCACAGTGTGGTGGTTTGACTCATGTGTTTGAATGTTTGGTTATAGGAGGTGGCACTATTAAGAGTCATGGCCTTGTTGCAGTAGGTGTGGGCTTGGTGGAGGAAGTGTGTCACTGTGGGGACTGGCTAGGAGGTCTCCTATGCTCAAGCTATGCCTAATATGGAACATAGTCTTCTTCTGCTGCCTGTCGATCAAAATCTAGACTTCCTGGCTCCTCCAGCACCATATCTGTCTGTATGCTGCCATGCTTCCTGCCATGAGGATAATGGGGTAAACCTCTGAAACTGTAAGCCATATCAGTTAAATGCTTTATAATAGTTGCCATGGTCATGATGTCCCTTCACAGCACTAAAACACTAACTAAAACAATAGTCTAGGGTTTAACAAGAACAAGAACAATTTTTTCTACCCCAGTTTTCCTTTCTGTAAAACAGAAGCAAGGGGAGACTTGGCTGCCATGCCTGCCATGTGACTTCTGGCTATTGCTATCATTACTTGTTATCAGTGTTAGGCTGGACACACTGTCCTCACAAGTGACCATTGACTACCTCAGCAAATTGTTTGCAAGAACCAAAGATGCCTGCTTTCATGGCTCCCAAGTGGACCCATGTTCTGGCCCTATCTACTTGGCCAAAGATAGAAAGGCAGAGTCAGAACTGAAGTCCCAAGTCTAAAACAGAACTTGGATCCTTCATGTCTATAAGTGTGCACAGTAATCCTTAGCTTCGGGGTTGCTACAGTGGGGGAGTGAGTTATTACAGAGACCTATCACTGGAGGCAAATCAGCAGCCTATGGTGAAAGCACACGGTGACAATCTCCAAGGTAATCCAAATTACCCTTAGAGCACGGTTGCCATATTTGGCACATTAAGTTAATTGTTAGTAAGACATTCAGCTAATTGTTTGACAAAGCAAAATTTCATGAATTATCTGGGGCTATACTTATAATAAACACAGTGTGTGTGTGTGTGTGTGTGTGTGTGCGCGCGCGCGCACGTGTGCACACGTATGCATTTTTTAACACACATGGAGAAGCCAGGTGGTCAAGGCTACGTGTCTTCCATTACCACTATTATTTTCTAAAAGTCTCTCTCTCTGAATCTGAAGCTCGCTGATTGGCCTAGACTGGCTCACCAGACAAGACACTGGAATCCGA